AATAGAGATTCTGGATGAAGAATGCATCAGACTGCAAAAAATGATTAGTCAATACAATTTAAATGATATTTTTAATTGCAATGAAATGGATAAGAGATATAATGCTTGTGACTTTAATTTAATTACATTAATGTTTTGCTGTTATTAGTTCTGTACTGGCAGTTGGAGTCATCTAGAATTTTGGTAATAACACCTGTTACTGGTGTAAAAAAATCTAAGAATCACGTGATACTTCTTCTTACATGTAATGTCATGAGTACTGAAAAACTATGATTATTATTTATTCATTACTTCAAAAATCCACAAGTTTTAAATACTATTAACAGAGACAAGTTATTAGTAGATTATTAAAACAAGTTTGCTTGGATACAGATATTAATATTTAATAACTACTTGATTAAATTAAATAGAAAAATACATCAACAGAACTGAAATATTCTATTATTGATGGATAATATAACTACTCATGCAATTATTAATTCTAAATATCTTACTAATATAAAATTTCATTACTTATCTTTTAATATTATTTCATATCTATAGCTATATGATACTGATATGATTTATATATTCAAGATAATTAAAGAATTTGCCATCTTATTTCATAATACTTTTTACTATCATCAATTTTTATATTATAGGCTTAGACTATAGATTACTTGTAAGAGATCAAATTGAAATATATAATCAAGCATGTAAATTAGAAATATAATTTATTTCTATTAATATTTATGATGCAATATATTATTATAATAAAGCGTAAAATACCATTACTAAAATAATTATTTATAATTGTTAGAGAAAAACTAATATTCTTCCTATAGATACATCTCTTATTTCTTATAATATTAATACCAGTATAAATAATATGATTGAAGACATATAATATTATATTACTTAGCTAGGAATGAATGAGTTATTATTAGTTACTGAGTATATTTATATTGATAAATAATTACTTATTGAATATTTTACTAATGATAATATTATTGTAATCATATAGAATATTAAAGAAGATAAAAAAGATAAAGAAAAAAGTGATAAGAAATATGAATCACAGCTTATGATTTCATTAAAAATAGCTTTAACAAGTGTGAATAATCTAATATAATTTGTCAATGATTTGCCTAGTAATCTTATCTTCAATAAGAAAATATTATTAATTCTGTATTTATTAAAATCAGAAATTTTATATTGCTAAATAAATAGATTAAGTCAATCACAAATTGATAATTTTATTAATAATAATACATAATAAAGTTATTATTATATTTATAGTTTCTTAATTTACTATATTAATATGTAATTGTTTACTAATCAAATGTAATAATCTCTCAAAATTAATATTACATCTCTATATCAGTTTTTCAAAATTTATTTACAAACTGATATTTTACAAAACTGATAGAAAAAGATGAAAATACTATTATCAGTTTTTCAAGCTTTGACTATATATAAATATTAAAAAAAATATATTATTAATAGTCTTTGACATGTTTTATAAATATTATGTATTTATTTTGTTTGTAGTCAGACATTTTTTAATCACGTGAATTATTTTTGATTGGCTTAATTGCAACATGCAAAATTACATTATTATTTTTTATTTTAGCATTGCATAAATTAAATTTAGCATAGCACATGATACCTTATTTGGAAATAATAATTCAATTTTAGCATCTTATTTGGAAATGATAATGCTGCAGTATTTGATGTGACTAACATATCTGTGATCGGCGTATGATCCGCGGTAACCTAATCAGTGATGGAAATCAATAAATTAATTTCCAGCACACTAACCTAAAATTTTTCATTGAAAATTTTGACCTCGGCGAAATACAATGTCATTTGCTTTTTACTTGAAAACCAACTTACCTGCCTTTGCTCGACGAGCAGCCATTTACGCTGGTAATAAACCGAGGTATTTCCTTTTTTTTTAATTTTTATTCTCATAAGCAAAATTAAAGAAGCTAATATCCTTTTTGTTGAAGATTTTTCACGCAAACTGCACTTCTTCGTAATGCCTCTGTCTTTCCCTCTCTCAACACCTTAACAGAAGAAGAAGCAGCCATACGTGAAACGGGTGAAAATTCAAAATACTTTTTAATGCTCGTATTTCTTAATGTACAAACTTTATCTTAAACTTTTCTTTTTTTTTTAGTTACAAGTTTTGCTCAGGAAATAATATTGCCAAAAGTTAAAGAGATGGACGAAAAAGAATCATTAGACAAAGAAATTCTCAAGGGTTTATTTGATCAAGGGGTATTTAATTAAGTCTCTGAAAACGGCAAGAATAAAATATCTTACTGTTTTTGAAGTAAATTTTTTTTTGAAAAAAGTTTATGGGAATAGAAACCGAACCAGAGTATGGCGGTTCTGGCAGTACTTTCTTGTCAGCTATCCTTGTGGTAGAAGGTAATAAAGTTTCGTTTACGATAAATGCCAGAGGTTCTCGCGTTTCAAGGTGTCATTGAACTACCGCATTCAATTTGTGGATATGAATGAATAGGCTTGCGGGATTGCGTTGATATTTTTGCATGAATTTGAAGAATATTTCTGATTTTAACATCTTGAAAATATTCCTCGTAGAGCTTGCCAAGGTTGATCCAGCGATTAGCGTAGTTTGCGATGTTCAAGTAATTATTATTATTATTTTTAATGTTTTTAATAGCAAGAGTTAACTTAATTTGATTATTTTACGATTAGAATACTCTCGTAAATACTTTATTCCGTAAATATGGTAGTGATGCCTTAAGGAAGAAATATTTGCCACAACTTGCAACTGGCAAGGTAATAGAAGACTATTTGATCTTGATTTATTTTTATGTTGTTTTCTAAATTTTATGTGTTTTAAAGGTTGGCTGCTTCTGTTTGTCCGAAGAATCTGCCGGTAGTGACGCGTTTGCTTTAAAAACACGTGCTGATAAGAAAGGTGATCATTATGAAATAAATGGCTCCAAAATGTGGATAACAAATTCATATGAAGCAGAGATTTTTTTGGTCTTTGCTAATATTGGTAAGGATTTTGTGGTAATCTACTTTCTTATTAATGAAGGTTTACATGAACACTTAATAATATATGTTATCTTCGACTTAACTTGTTAGATTTTGACGCAAAACATAAGGGGATTACCTGTTTCGTCGTTGAAAAAGATTTTGGAGTGAAGGTTGCAAAGAAAGAATCAAAGGTATGTTAAATTACCCCTCAATAATAACGTTTTAATTCATATTTAATTTGATTATTCTTTCCTGATTAATTTAGCTTGGTATCAGGGCCTCTTCTACATGTACTTTGAACTTTGATGGTGTGAAGGTACTTATTATATTTTTTTTCATTGCAACCGCATAAACTTATGCTCTTTAATAAATTCATAGGTTCCCGAGGAAAATGTGCTTGGTGAAGTTGGGAAAGGTATTTTTGCTTTTCTGATTTTTTGAATTTAGTCATTTTTAAACATTACGATTCGATCGATCATAAACATACATATTTCATGATGATCATCAGGATATAAATACGCAATTGAGATTTTGAACGAAGGACGTATTGGGATTGCTGCTCAGATGATTGGATTGGCTCAAGGTGCATTTGATCATGCATTGCCATATACTTTAGTGCGAAAACAATTTGGTCAACCCGTGGGCGAATACCAGGTGATAAACTTTTTCTTATTAATGTATATTTCTCTAATATAAATTTTATTAAATTCTCTATATTTAAAATAACAACTTTAAGGGAATGCAATTTCAATATGCTCAAAGTATTTTTAAATCTATACAAAGTATATCTTGTTCATCTTGTTATTTCGCCCGAAAATTAACAAATTTTGATATATATAGTTGCCACTGATATCGAAGCTGCGAGGTTATTGACTTATAATGCTGCAAGATTAAAGCAAGAAGGCTGCAACTTTGTCAAGGAAGCTGCAATGGCAAAATTATTTTCTTCGCAAGTTGCCGAACATGTAAATTTCGTTGTTTTACGATTAATAATTATTTTTTTGCAATTTACGTAAAAAATTATTAATCTCTACCTTTTTTGATAGGCTGCATCTAAAGCTATCGAATGGATGGGTGGTGTCGGATTCACAAGAGAGTTTCCTGGTATTCATTGATTTTTTTCATAGATTGGGATATATTAAATTTTTAATTTATTAATTATTCGTTTTTATTTAATAGTTGAAAAATATTATAGAGACGCAAAAATAGGTATATTCTTGCTTGGTTTTTAATTAACTATTGATTTTGTAACTGAATTTTCTGGTTTTTTTTAAGGCTCAATTTACGAAGGGACATCAAACATCCAATTACAAACAATCGCTAAATTGGTTGCAAATAAATATAGAACTTGAGATTTAATTAAAACGCGGACTTTTGATAAAAAATAAAGCTATAATAACATCTTTAAAAAAGATGAAAACCCTCAAAAAAACTATTTCAAAAAATTTTTATACACCGAGTTATCTGTTTCATCTACAGCAATATAACCAAGATTATTTTTGAATAATTCGAAGGCTGCGTCCTCTTCCGGTGGTACTTGAATTCCCACAAGAACTTTGCCTAAATCTATATTTTTGGATAAGAATAAGAATTAGAACTATATATAAGAACAGAACCCAAGTAAAACACCAAGTATATTTCTAGTACCAGAGCCGTGATTCCGATAATGAAACAATGTGATATTCCATTCAGAATGTAATCCATACAAAAATTTCTGTAGTGCTCCAGGTCTTTCTGGAAATTCTATGTATATTGCGAAAATTTAAATTAGTCCATTTTTCCTCTTCAAAATCATAAAAAAAAAACAACCACCGAATATCTTACCAAATCTATACAATCGTTCATTTTCAACGCGACTTCTACCTCCAACTAAATATCTCGCGTGGCTTTTTGCCATCTCATTTTCACTTATATCTTGTCCTTGCATTCCATTTTTTTGTAGGTCTTCTAAAATCTCCGGAACTTCCTTTTCTCGATTCTGGACTATAAATGACATAAATATCCAGGCTTTTTCAGAATCCGAATATCTATGTATTTGCAAAGAAATCTGTGTATTTATTCATTTCAGCTATGCGAAATTTAGCAATTTCTAAAAATTTACCTGTATGAGAATTCTGTTATAGGTCGTGGATGAATGTGATTATAAAGTTGAACGAAACTAAAGATATTAATTTATTAAGTTATGTTATTATTATTTAGCGAAAGATTTCGATCTAAAATATGAACTAAATAACCTTCCAGGACGTTCTGGAATAATGACCGCAAATAAAACCTCTCGATGTTCTCCGAGCTCTGCACGCTCGGCTACAAATCTCAAACGATCGAAATTAATATTGGCACCGGATGTAACAGCAACAAAACAACGTCCCCCCAGATTGTTTTCAGCAATGTATTTCTTCGCACCAGCAACTGAAAGTGCTCCAGCCGGCTCAATAATCGAACGAGTATCTGATATAATAAGAAGAATTTGAACTTTGTGAGAAGAAAATTACGCATAATATTCATTATAGTTTACCTTCAAAAATGTCTTTTATCGCTGCGCATATTTCGTCATTAGTAACTGTTATCATCTCATCCACAACCTCTCGACATAATCGAAATGTTTCCTCTCCTACAATCCGAACAGCAGCACCGTCAGCAAACAGTCCTACTTCGTTCAGTAAAACACGTTTATCTTCCTTTAAGGAGATTGTCATCGCATTTGCATCGCATGCTTCCACGCCAATTACTTTTATTTTGGGACATAACTTTTTCACATAGCTTCCAATTCCAGCTATTAGGCCTCCTCCACCAACACAAGCAAAGATCGCGTCGATCTCATTATAATTAATTTGACGCAAAATTTCCATTGCTATTGTGCCTTGACCTGCAATCACATACGGGTCATCATACGGGGGAATATTTGTGAGCTGGTATAAATCCTCTAGACGAGCACACTCTTTTTTTGCTTCATCAAAATCTGCACCGTATAATACGACTTTAGCGTCTAGTCTCTCTACATTTCGCCATTTTATAGCAGGCGTTGCTCTGAGCGAGAAGGAATTGCACATGGAAAAATTGTATAGATGGAAATTTAGTAGGTCTTCTAAAAATTGAATAATCAATCGCAGAATACGTACACTGGCATCACAATGGTCGCTGGCAAACCAAGATGTTTCGCTGACAATGCAACTCCTTGAGCATGGTTTCCTTAAAAGAATCAATAATGTTAACAAAAAATCAAGAACCGGCGACACTTGCGTATGTGAACTTTCGAGGAATTCGATTATATAGATTAAAAAGAATTCATTCATTACTACGTCATTAGGTCATATCCAAATTTAATAATGAAAAATTCTTTACCAGCTGAACAAGCAATAACACCATTCTTCCTTTCTTCGTCGGATAAATGCGCAATTTTATTATATGCCCCTCGTATCTTAAACGAAAACACCTGTTGTAAATCCTCGCGTTTGAGGTAAATTTTATTATGTAATCTACTTGACAGATTAGCTGCGTGTTGTAGCGGTGTCTCTTTAACAATTTCATATACACGTGAAGTTAAAATCAAGCGAAGGTAGTCAGGATGGTCGGTTATTGAGTTTGAGCTTGTAAGTTGGGGAAATGGGGGAGAGGTGTTTGTTTCAATAAGAGCTTTTACCTTTGGATATGGATTAATTTGTTTCTCGGGGTCTAACTCCTGTGACATTTTCAAAGAAATTTATTCATAAGAAAGAAAAGGGAATTGCAAAAAAAGAACTCATGATTACAAATGACTCATATTTGCTAACATGCGAACCAAAAGAACCCGAGTACAAAATACGCGTTTTTGATAAACTAGATAATTAAATTAAAATGCATGAAAATAGAATTTAATCATTTCGTTGACGCGTCTTTTACATTTTCATTGTTAAAATTTTGATTTTTGGATCTCATGACGAGTATATTGGCACAGGTTAAGTGAACCTATCAGGTTAAATTTTTGGTTATCATATTAAAGCTCAGATGTGAATTGAATGTTAAAAGTGTATTAAAAAATATCCTAGCAAATTGATGGTTGAATCATCCTCTTGCTGTTCGTGATGTTTTTCCTATAGTAGTAAAAATACCATTTCTTGAACTTTGAGCTGTTTTTGCGGCAATCTGCTTTGCCCTAATATCCTCCTCGGTCCATAATGATTCATGACTATGTTCAAAAGGCTGAGCCATTGCCCTAAGGAATTTTTTCGCGTTAACTAAAGCCATATCAGTCGAAAGATTGGTATTAGCCTCGGTTATATATTGATTGATCCACTTTGGTAGTTTTGCTCGTTTATCGCTACGACCAAACCTCTAAAATATAGTAACAATAATGAATGACGTGTTTTTAGTAACAATAATGAATGACGTGTTTTTAGTAACATAATGAACGACATAGCTTTTTATCACCTTATCAGCAAATATCATTAGACCATAATCCGTTTTTCCACGCAAGACTCGTCCCACACATTGAGCTGCATGCCTCATTGCATCAAATGTAAGAAAATCGTTTTCCCTTATACGGTAATTATCACGTAGAAATTCCAGCCGTGCCTTAGGGATTAAAATAAAAACACGACTATTTTAAATCTTTCAAGTAAAAAATATTGCAAACATCAAACAAGTATATTCCTACTTTGAGAATACGACTCTCGGTATATTGATAAGGCAAACCAAACATTAATACTGCTCTTCCGTAATTATGATCAAAGTCTATACCTTCAGATACTTTACCCCGTGCGACTGAAAGAAGAATAGCCCCACGACCATTATCGCAAGCCTGAGGATCAAGAGATATGTCATAACGATAAGTTATAATTTTGACAATTTACACACCATGTACAGTCAATCTGACATTTTCCCAGTTCCAACTATTATGAAGCATAAGGAAATTTGTCTCCATACAGTCACAACCTCTATAAAGCCACATTTTTCTGAGCTCTAGGGTGTGATTATATGGAGGCACGACTGTAATTATAATGCGTCATACCGTTCTGTAGCTTTCTAAGGCTAAGCTTGTTTCGGCTGCATCAGGAGTTTCTACAAATATTAATTTGTGTTTCCATGCTTGATTTAAAATTCCCTATGAAATAAAAAGATTATGTAGAAACGAATTTAAGTTCTATCAAACTTATTCATTTTAGAACCTCACCATCTCGTGCCACATTGCTACGATTGATTCCATATAAAGATAGCTTGGGAAGAAGGCAACAATTCCATCCGGGACTATTTTGGCAAATTCCAGAAGAATCTGTCCGAAATTGCGAACAACTGCTGGGTCATTTCGAACCTCAAATTTGGAGCTTATTGCAACTTGATCACTACCTCTCGTAATAACCTATTATCATAATTGTAAATACGGGTTAACTGTATTATTGAAACAAAAATTTATAATTAAAAGTTTCATACCAGAGGCAGAAAACACGTTCGTGTAAGCGTCATGGAATAACTTTCTTGAATAACAGCGTGAAAAGAAAGAATTTTTGGATACATGTCAAGAGGGGATAATGTCCCTGACGTAATAATAACTGATTTGAAACGCTCAAACACGGGTCTAATTGCAATTGAAGCATCAAGGCACCTGCAAGATTTGATTAAAATAATCAAATCTGACTTGTTATCATCCCTAGATCGTAATAAAGCTTTGATTTAAAAATGTTGAATCTTAAAAAAACTAACGCGTGATGAAGGATGGGATTTGGCACTAAGTCAGATTCAAAAGGTTCCAAGATCAACAAGAAACCTATAAAATAATTGATATAGTTATTATATTATCCAAATTACAATAAAATTAATGATGTTTATTATGCAATTAGATACCTTTATCATATGTCGCTACAAGAGTGGCAAAAGCCGCTATTCTTTGTAAAGCATTATACTCATTGAGATTAGTCAATTCTAAAGTTCGTACTAACGATGTTAGACGTTCACTGCAAAACCTATAAATAGCATTCGTCAGAATAGTTTTAATTTATCTCAAATATATAATATATGTGTTTATCTTTTATGGTACCTCAAAGGCTTTTTTTCTATTAATGTAACCTCTTTTAAATGCTGAAGAAATGACGCCGGTGTTTCCGCTACCACATTTTGTACTCGCATGCGCGTCTATAAAAATAGCGAAGATAATTATTTAAAAATGAAATGTAAAACGATACTAAAAATTCCTACTTTAAGATATTCAACAAATCGCCGAAGGAAAGCAACAAAATGTTCGGCGCGTCTTATAGCACCAGGGACTGCCTCGTTTAACAAGTCTGCCGGAAGAACTATTATAAATCATATTTGATATTAAAAAATTATCGAGAATTAATATTATAATTGATATCAAAAATCTGCATACCGGGATTAGTCATAAATATATCTTCATCTCTGCTTAACCTTGCCTCGTTTAACCCTATATCATAATAAAGCTAATGAAAATTATTTTCGCCTTGAAACTATAACTAAACACGAATACCATCAACTAGTTTTCTATATTCAGCTTGCAATTTTCGCGCATCAGTCTGTTTTATTCTTAAAATCAGAATTAAGATTGTTTATGAGCATTTCTATTTATATATATCATAAAAAATAAGCTAATTTAATTACTGAAAACTTACTGGTTAACTACTTCTGTAAGCTCGTTGATACTTCTAGCGCTCGAGTCTAATATAGGCTTAGTAATATCAATGCTCAGAGACTCTATGCATACATTATCTATATTATTTGATTTTAACTAAGTTAATTAAGACATATTAATACATAAATAATTTATTACGAAATTAATTACCTATATTGTGAGCTTCATCGAATACTACAATTGCTTCTTTGGATAATTCCTTTGATATCAGGTCAGCTACCTTCGGATCTAGCAGGTAATGGTAACTATATATCACAACATTTGCAGCCGAAATCTATTAAATTACTCTAGATTTAGCTATTTTGCAGAATAATGATATGAATTATTTCACACCTACCAATCGCCTTGCTAAATAATATGGACAATATCTCTCTTCTTGGCATCGTGCCTTAAGCTCTTCAAGTGTGTAAACACCATATGCCAGCAATTTATTTTGATCTGCGGATTCGAGTGTCTAAAAAAGATACAAAACAATTGAGACCTACTTAGTTATACCTTTTATAAGTGCAACATCCTATAAACGCACGCTTTTTATCTAATCCCTAGGAATGCACTTAAGGAGAGTTTACTGTATATATATTATATTCTAAGCGGATTTTTATTCTCGGAAAATCGAATGTTTACCTCATAAAAATTACATAATTCCACGTTTGATGAGTTTTTTGCTTTCTCTCTGACCCATGATGCGGTCATATTTCGACAGCGAGCATCAACAACTTTACCTTTTTTTTCTTTGCTAACCTAAGTTTACATGCATATTCAAAGATTTTTAATATGAATACTATTTCAGAATTTGAAAAACAAAGAAATTGAGAAAAATTACTGAAGGATGTAAACACAGGTTTTTTCTCGATGTCAATCCGATCCCAAGAAATTTTTCCTTAGCGCCATTCTTTTGACGAAATTCATATAGATTTTTTAGTTCTGCTAATGCTTTCTCAATCTCTGGTACTGTTCTTGAACAATATATTAGTTTTCTGTTTTCTTTTGCATGATACTAAAATAGAATTGAAATTTATCCAAAAATATTAATCTACAAGTCAATCGTGGATAATAAAATAACGAAGACATACCATTTGATAGGCCACGATTAAAGAAAGAAGGGATACGGTTTTCCCTGTCCCTGAAGGCATTTCCAGAAGACAATGACCCTATATTAACCCGAAAGATGAATTGAGATATTGAGAAAAATTCAAAGTAATAGCAAGCTTATATAATACCCCGGCGTCAAGTCCCTTTTTCAGATCAGCCATGTATGCATATTGCTCGGGATATATTTTGTCATATGGGAAAAGGACAGGGATTTCATCTATGTAAAACCTGTAAAAACTTAAAGCATTGATAATAATAATTTCTTTAATCCAATAAATAGAGTACCTCATGTTGAAAAAGAATTTGCCTTCCAATTAAGATAGAAACGCGTGTGGAGTTATAAATTTTTTTAGAATGTAGGATCATCATGCGCAGTTTTACCTGATACACTGAACTGAACACCAACATGTCTCTAGCCGACGAGCTCCTCGCTGATCCGGATTTTTCAAGTACCAATGAAGTGGAGGAACCCGGGTTGTCTGATGAATTAATGCGTGATCTTGAGGATATAGAAGAGTTAGAAGAAGAAATGATGGAGGAGGATGAAGTTTCTGAAGAACCACCTATACCTGAAATGTCACACATGAAAGATGTCAAAAAAGTGGCAAAGTTAATGAGCTCTAAACAAGTGAAGGATGTTTTAACTGTACGTTTACTCTCTTTTGTTCAGTTTGGTTATCTGGTTCCTTATATTAATATAATTATACGATATACAAATTAGAGAATTGATGAACTTCGTAACCAAGAGCGTTCTCAAATTCAGATAATGGGCCCTGTAGAAGAAGATCCAGAATACAAGCTTATCGTGCAGGCGAACAATCTTACTGTAGATATTGATAACGAAATTCTAATAGTACATAAAGTAAGAACTCGATTACTTTTTATTTGAAGCTTGCGCACGTCCTTTATGAAACCTTCTAACCAACCCAAATATCTGAAATATATCTAGTTTATCCGAGACCATTATGCAAAAAAGTTTCCTGAATTAGAATCATTAGTTCTCAATCCTTTGGATTACACGAGAGCTGTGAAAGCTATTGGAAATGAAACGGTATGATCTTTTCAATTGTAAAAGTTACGCTAGCTGAGCTCAGATAATACGTTCGAAATTATGCATGTTTTCTACTTTTCCTTTACAGAACCTGACCGTGAGGCTCGTCCATCGGTCCCTTTTACATTATACAGGATCTAACTAAAGTCGATTTGAGATCTATTCTTCCGTCGGCGACGATAATGGTGGTTACAGTTACCGGATCCACTTCCCTTGGGCAAAAGCTTTCTGACGAGGAGGCCGCTATTGTGGATGATGCTTGTGAAATGGCGTTTGAATTAGATCTCGCAAAGCGAAAGGTAATCCATGAAAATTTGTGCCATCATTCTTACTAAATCTAATAAGATTGAAATTTTCTTTTGATGCAGATTTTGGAATATGTTGAATCGCGAATGACACTTATTGCCCCAAATCTTTCCGCTATCGTGGGCAGCACAACAGCCGCCAAAATATTGGGACAAGCGGGTGGTTTAATGGCACTTTGCAAAATGCCTGCCTGTAATGTTATGGTGAGTAATCTCTACTCTCCGTAAAAAGCAAATGAATATTAATAGATTTTTTCATCTGAAATTTTCTCTAGCTTATTGGCATCCAGAAAAAAACTAGTACTGGGTTTTCTACTGCAACTTCGCCAAAACATACCGGATATCTCTTTCAATCTGAAATTATTCAGAGAACGCCACCAGATTTACGGTTCAAAGCACAAAAAATAGTTGCAGCAAAGTAAGAATAGTTTTCATCATACGTTATGTTTTTATATATCTAATAAGTAGTAATGTTTTAATTTATTTATTTTATAGATGCACTTTAGCGGCAAGAATGGATCGAATGCATGATTCACCGGATGGTAATTTATTGTTATGTTATTTATATCATTGATATCTTTTAATTTTTTTTATTGCATTAGGTTCATATGGGCGGAAATTAAGGGAGGAGATTGATAAAAAACTCGAAAAATTACAAGAACCGCCGCCTACCAAAACCATCAAACCTCTACCTGTTCCTGATGAAGGTCCTAAAAAACGAAGAGCTGGAAAAAAGTGAGCAAATATTAAATATTAAAATTACTTGTGAACCTAGCATTACTAATTTCTCAATAAACAAACCAACAGAGTGCGACGAGCTAAAGATGCATACGCGGTAACAGAACTTCGAAAAGCCCAAAATAGAATGGCATTCGGAGTAGCGGAGGATGAAACTGGTTCGTTTGATAGGACAAAAGGATTAGGATTAATCGGGAAGAACTCGGGGAAAATCCGTGCAGCTGTGGCCGATCAAAGAGTCAAACGTAAGTACAAAATGTTTCTTTAAAATAAAGACTATTATCTTAATAACAATAAAAAATCTTAATCTTTAGCTAAGGCTCCACGGCGAGCTCAACTGATGGGCGGTTCTTCAGGTGCTACATCGGGGTTATCCTCGTCTTTGGCTTTCACGCCCGTTCAAGGTATTGAATTAATTAATCCAGAGGAGTCCCAAAGAAAGGCTAAAGAACCAAACGATCGATACTTCACCGGTGGTGCTTTCTTAAGAGTTGGAAAACCTAAGCAACCTTCTCCGCTTTCTCAAGTGCAGCAGAGGCCAGCACCTCAGGGTCAATAAATATGGTTGTTTCATATCCTATGAATGGTACTTTGGTTTATCATCTATAGTTTATGATTTTTTTCAGACATTTCGATGGGAAACAACCAGGCTGCATTTGATGTACTCAACATGATTTATTTCTGTAATAAAATTTTACATCCTCATTGTTTCGATTGTTATTTACAAAAATAACTCGTTTTTATACTAGTTGTCTCAATTTTATTCTTTTTGTTATGGTTAAATTTCTTTAAATCTATTGATAAATATATTGATGGTATATCCTATATTTTTCTTGTTTCAATATTATTAAGTTAAATAATTTAATTACTATAAATAAAAAAAATTAGATTATAGTCTCAAGGTAACCATTGGGGGCATTCCGTCCTCTTCTCTTATGGAGGGACTAGCACGATTACGTCTAACGATCCCCACATTGCCAAGAGCCTTTTTGTCTTTTTGTTTAGCACCGTGGAGATGTTGAGCATCGTTACATATAGGACATTGTGGCGGGCTGCCTAAAGAACGCAAAAGCGTCGAGTGCACTACTTTAGCACCAACACTGTATTGTTTGCCTTTTATCCTTGCGGCAGTTTCAGAGAATGATGGCGATTCATCCTCGAGTAGGCATGATTCGTGGTATGCGTGACGACAAAAAAATATAATGGCGGTAAAATTTTTTGTTGCAATATCTAACAAAACACGAAATTGTGTTAGAATAAATCGCATTTTGCAGATATTGTTATGCAAAAAAACTATACCATCTATAATAATTAATTCTTGACATACGGAGCAAACAAGATCGTCTAAATTGAAAAAAAATTAAAAGCTTGATAATTGGAACAAGATTTAAGAATGCCAATTCCAATATATACCTCCACATGATGTGCCACGTTTCTGAGCCCGTTGAAGTTGATCCGCCATAGCAACACTATCACTAACTAGAATTCTTTCACACCCTTCTCGCAAAGAAGCCTATTTATATTGAGTTATGTTAATATTATAATTATCGTGTAATAAAAAATTTTAGTACAGACCTGTAAATTGAAATCCTGAAGGATTTTTATTAAAGCATCTTTCAAACCAGGAATTTCAAGATCATCGGGAATTTGGCTTATTAAGCGAATTGGATCGATGTCGGTTCCACCAAGATTTTCCAATAAAACTTTGATAAATCCTATTATATAAAGAATAATAAAAGATCTTAGTCTGATGCTTAATAATAATTTATTTAATAAATAATGTAATACTTGCGTGGTTTGTCAAGTGAATACTTCAACAAGTCTTCCCATAACGCGTCATCTTCTTGTTCTTTGGCAAAGTCAATCGCCTAACGTAAAAAATTAGGATAATTGGCTAGGTTATAAAATAATTAAAAAAATTCTACTTACTCTTTGAACATCCTGAAGGCGATCGATGATCAACATAAGCGCCTCTTTATTATTCCCAGTGCGTCCAAGGATGAAAACCATTTCAGGGACCAAATCCCGTTGCTCACAAACTTTGTATGCCTAAGCATAACATAAATTTAATAAGTTTGGCGGTTTTGTGAAATAATATTAATATAATTAAATATACCTTTTCTAGGGAGTAATAGTTACTATTTCGTAAAAATTCCATCAAACGCGAAGGTTCATACTCCGCATATAATTCAACCTATTTTGAAAAAATGTCTTTTGTTAACTAATACAATAAACAAGCGCGATTGCAATAAAATCCCTTTACTAAACCTGTAGATCATGATACTCGTAGCCCATGTGCGGATCATGTAGAAATAATGCGTCCAAATATATAAACATGAATTTAGGATGTTTTTGCAATTGTTTAACAACTCTAGAAATCTTTAATTAAATAAATTAATTAGCTAAGAATTATCATTCGAACAAGAGAAATTAATATATATACCGGCACTGATTCTGTATTTTGTACAAGCAATTGCACGGCAGGTCCTTCACTTGGTTTCCTAATGGGCGTTAATTTCGGTGAAGGTTTTTCAGTTGGTTCGCCAAGATCATCTTTGTTTTCTATAGATTCTTTAGTTTCGAGTGATAACAAATGCTGATCAAACTCCATCAAAAGAACAATTTTATCTTCTATGGAAGAGAATAAACCATAATCGCGTATTAGATCAAAAACGTTCGGACGTCGAAGTCGAAGACTATACTCTAATGCTTTGTCGGGTTCACGATTGAATGTGTACCTGAAACATTTTCATATAAGAATCAAGTAGACCAAAAAATTTTAAACAACAAATTTATCACTCACAATTCAGCCAAGCATTCCATTAATATTGGATTATCGGCATCTTTAAAAAGAGCATCTTCAACTGCAACTATTACACTTTGAATATTGTAAATTGTTGGTGGCCATCTTTTTATTGTACTATATAGAGACTATATTTTAAGAATAAAAATATCAATATCAAACGAATTTTATATATAAATGAACTAACGTTTTTTTCGAATATATTACCTCATAATCTTGATTAAGGAAATAGGCTAAAACCATTTCGTAGACCACACTACTCAATTGAGGATCTTTAAATGGAATATAAGGAGTAATTTCCTATATAATAAAAAATATAATTAGATCCACGACTATAATAAAAGGATAGAATATAAATTTTAGAAATTGTCTACCTGTAATTGACGTAGTTCGGCAAATTTAAAGATCCAATCATCCCAAAGTTTAGCTTCATCCCATTTGCTGGAATCAGTCTTTAAGATGGTAGGACAAGCCATTGCTGCTTTCTCATATTCTCCTGCATGATTTTATATAAAATTAGAATATGATCACAGAGAATTTAAAACTAGCAATGAAAAAAAAGATAAAAAAAAATTTAGCTTACCTTTGTCAATCAAATACGATAAATACTTAAGACCAACTTCAGTCACATCATAAGTTTTGCTTCCACCCCAAGCTTGAGCTTCTCGCAAGGCACCTAAAGCTTCCTCATATCTCAATCTATCAAGTAGCCATCCAATATGATCATCCAAATCGCGTGGTTTCGCGACAACAAGATCCTTGGGACTCACAACATAGAAGAGATCTTCGTCAGAAGGTAGAAAATCAAGCACATAGTCGTTTGCTTGATATTGCTGAAAGCTATGGAGTGATAAGGCATCTGAGGAAATCTCTTCGTTTGATGAGTTGATTATACGCAATTCAGGACGTTTTGCGCGCTGTATTTCAAAATTTTATTAAGATCAAATTATCATAAGATAGAAAAATGTATTATGATCTATATACCGGTCTTCTTTGTTGTTCAGGGTTGCTAGTTTCTTCGTTTTGTATTATGTCGTCAGTGATGTATGCCATTAATAGCATCATGTCCTTAAATGGGGCAATTCCGCATACTATAAAATCAGTCCTGAATCTAAATAAAAAGATTCGTTTGAAAATTAAATAGATAAATAAAGACGATAATAAATAAAATGGAAATAAAATATTTATTACAAGGCTATTATTTCGACATAAAGTGAAGGGCCTTGAGTATTCTCCATTCTTGTTCTTTCCTATATAAGATAAATAAGTATTAGGCAATACATACACAAAAAATCACCAAAAAAATTTGATATATTATCACCTTCACTACTCCCACTTGTACATGATCAGCCCATCCGATCAACAAATGAGTATCATTCCTCCAGCAAAGATGGCATCGATACAGGTCAGGACGTGGACTATTATCAGGCCGACAAATCCATGTAATACGTTGTTTCGAGTTCATATCGTACATTTTAACGCCCTATCCAGATCATCACGAAAAAACGAAATCCTTCATGAGGTAAATTGCAAAGAAACTAATTGGAACTTTTCAATTCTTTGATTTACCATATCGTTAGCCCAAGCAATCAATGAACCTCGCCATTTTACAGCATATATTGGACCTTCACCTTGGTGTAAAATGGTGTCGACATTACTACCAAACCAGCCTAAAAATAAATTTCTTATTCAGAAATTGGCATCATATCTTGCTAAAAAACAAATGTATCATAAATATGAGCGATACCTTTTTCATGCAAAATAAGTTGTCCAGCTAATCCACCTGATACAAATTGACCAGTTGCATTTCTGGTAAAATTTGGATCAAGCGCTACACATTTTAAAGGCCTCTTGTAATTATAATGCCGCACTTCTTCATTATAGAGACCATTAATTACAACTCTTCCTGTGTGAAGATATGAAGAGATACATTAATATACTCATACATACTCATTCACAATACTAGCTATAAACGGATCGATTACCATCCATCGACGCGCTAGCAACGTATTCACCAGCAACGTCAACTGATAAATCATGAACGGTAGCAGTATGTGCCGAGAATCTCTTGATTTCATTCCCTTCAAAATCGAATAATAATACGGCGCCATTGTGTGTACCTAATACCTAGATACAATAAAATGTCAGTGAACAAAAAACACTAAGGAGAATAGAATACTATTAAATAGTTGACCAAATACCACAAAACGATCAGACACAGCCATAGCACTTGCAGCATCCCGTTTTAAGATTTCTCCAACTCCAGCTCCCAACCTCTGATATTTAAGCTTGGGTTCTTCCTCCTCTTCGGAATCTTCGTCCTCATCTACCTCGGAGTCGTATTCGGAATCTTCTTCGTCCTCTTCTTCCTCTTCTTCCTCCTCGTCTGCTTCCTCGTCTTCCTCCTCCTCTTGAGACTCTAAAGCTTCTGCTTTTTTACTGTTTTGAGTCTCAATTATTTCGTCAAAAGTTTGTGACATTTCCTCGGTATAAGATTAATGATTAAAAAAAGCCAGTAATCAAAAACTGCGGTCGTATATAATCTCATTTGAATTTTATGACTCATCATTTTCGGGGTACAATGGATTCGTTTACGCTTGAACTTTTCCCTTCACGACAAATCCATATTTCTCTATTCCGAAACGTAACAAACGCAGCAGAACTTCGCAAACGACTCCTCGCCAGAGACCAAGAACTATCTTATGCTTTTATCGACGCGCGAGTCGTAAATAAAAAAATAATTACTAGAATAATGGTTGCTAGTTTCTGATTTATTTATTCTTTTATATTACATAAATATATTATTATTTTATTTTTATAGGTCCTTGACTTATTTCAAGTATTAGTCGCGGTAAATAACGCATTATATTATGAAAAACTCGAAAAACTTAAAACTTTCAATGTCCATTCAGAAATTGTGTACTTTCTTTCTCCCACAACTAATGTAATAAAATTTATTGATTAGAGGATTTAATGGTTTCTGTATAATAATATGCTTTTGGTTTTAGATCACAGAGTCTCTACGACGATTCGGCATCTTGGATGTAACTAATGCTATTCTGGTTGTTAAAGTTGGTGGCGATGCTGCTGATGTAGGTGTTAAATTATTTAATAAAAATCTCAATTCTAATAATGATTTTTATTAATAGGTTAAAGCACATCTTGTTTCACTCTTACGAGGTGAGATGGAATCTTCTCTTGACACAATTTCACGTTTCTCGGATTTAGGAGTTATCAAAAAAGTATTTATTATTGCAGGATTGATTTACTTCCGAGAGATATATTTATTTAAATGTTCTTTTTTTCATTTTGCCCACAGTATTATAAAATTGATAATAAAATGACCGATAGGCGCGAAATTTTGGATTTTTTGATTGGAACTATTGCGATCAAACCTGTTCTTTAGTTTGATGTTATGCGTATAGTTTATTAATTTTGGATAAAAAAACGATAGCAAGCATATGATATATACAGTGATCTACATTAATCACATGATTATCACTCACATGATTAAAATCTAATACTGCACTATTCCAAAACAAGAAAAAAATACACAAACTTTAACAATTAATTTTTTAATAATTTATAAATAAATATTGTAAAAAATTTATATTATTTTATTTAGAAAAATATGAATTTTATTAATATCTAGTTGGCTTTTCATGATTATTTAATATAGCTTGAATTTTGATAAATTTTTAATTAAATTTATTAAAATTTTTGATTTAATTTTATTTTACTTCTTTAAAACTATCATTAATTTAATAATATTTTTGGATGAGATTTGTGTTTTCAAATTCTTTTTTTCAAAATATTTTATAAATATTTAATTAAATTAAAATTTGAATTTAATATTGAATTATTTTTTTTATTAATTAATCATTCTTATTTTATATATTAGATATTATTATCTTGATATATTTTTTAAACTATTATAAAAGGATAAAAAAATATTTTTTAATATTTTTATATATATAAAATCAATAATTTACATTATATTTTTTATGTGATTTATATCAAATTCAGTAATATATATTATTTAAAATAAAAAAATATATTTGTTATTATTGATAATAATACCAGATTTTTTTATGAAAAATTTTTTAGTGCTTTAATATAATCATCTTGATAGAAATATTAATTAGTTATTTTAAAATAAAATTTCACAAGAAATATTTTTTCTTAAAATATAAAAGATAATTTTATATATAAAATTTTAAGTTATTATTATTTTTTAAAAAATTATTTATTTTTTAAATTTTTT